TGAGCATGCAGAAGGTCCCTATCCAGAGGAAACTCATCCAAAGACAATTCTTACCAGCTTTCTGTGTCTTATATCCTGTTCATGAATATAAATTAATGCAAATTCAGACAGATTCAGACCTCCTATCAATTATTCACTAGTGGAGAATGAAACTTTGATTAGTAAGATCTGAAATCACTTGGTCACCTTATGTCTTTTTGTTTCCATCTCTAAAAGGAGGGGTCACATTTTTAATTAATGCCAGTGAAGGTCATCTTTATGATGCAACACACATTTTAGTTAAGAAAGCAATGCGATCGTGACACCGTCAGCTCCACTCATTTAAGGAACGTAAAGAAGGAAGATACATACAAAAAGGAGAACTGAGAACAAAGCAGTCTGAGCCTTAAAGTCCAGATCTGGGCTTTACCTCTGATTTACCTCAAGTCTAGGTTTAACAAATTTCAGGAACACTTTAGCCACCAAGCAGGTATTTCCCTTTGGACTTTGCGTTCAGCGCCCCTGTTGAGATGGCAGAGCTGCTCTACAGATAAAACTTTACATAACAAGTAAAAACAGAAAACAAAGAGCTTACTGCCCTGATTCGGAGGTAAAACTGAAATTTAAATAAAGGTCAGCTAACCAGAAAGCTCTACAGAGTGTCATGGTCAAATGAAAAGTACAGAGATCTGTTCCAGAAATCATATAAGGAAAAAAGATTAGAACTCTGGTCTTACTACCTTACCGCCCCCGTCCTGTACGATTGCACTCTAAGGAAGTTGATATGTTTATGTTCAGAAGCACCCCTCTTGCATCCAGTTAGTTGAGGACAAAATTTTCCTGTCCTTCCTTGCCTCCTTTTTCTTATTTTGGGATTTATCATGCTTATGGAGTTTCAAAACCACACATGAATTTTGCAGCTCAGCCTCTACAAAAAACAACAAAGATACTTCATTTGCAAAGCTATGCCATGACCTGAAGTTAGAAGCCTGTGGTAAATTTAGTTGCTTTTGTTAATGAAAACATATAGCTTTCACTGAGAAATAATTTCTTTCTGAATAGACATGGAGGTAACCTTAACTGGAAACACTCCAATTTAACAGCAACAATTTATAATAATTTTTTAAAATAGCAGCATAAAATATACATCCACTTACCCAAACCACATTAGCATTTGATTTTGTCAGACATGATGTATACATTAGTAATAAAATAAGAAGTCCCCATTCCAAAGCCCTTACAGTCTAAGTACACAAAATGAAGGAAGACGGTGCCTATTTTGAAGAAAGAAAACTGAGACAGAGTTCTCAATTATAAGCAATACAAAAACTAGGACTCAAACAATCCACCACAGATCTGGGAACAGAACAAAGATCATCTAAGTCGCTCTCCAGTGCCCTAGTCATAAGGCTTTGCCTTATCAGTAAAACGCAATACGGCCTAGGCATGAAACTGTGAAGTTTTTAAATCAAGTCATATTTGTCTTACACACAGACATAGTACTTTCTCCTAAAAGCAAAACCAAATATTTTTGTGACATCATGCAACTCCTGAACAACTTTCGGATTTACAGCTAAAATGCAACCACCTGCAACTGCATTCATATCTCATTTACTCATCTTTTTCAGCAGCATATCCAGCTTTTCTCCTCCATCTGAAACTGCTGGTGGATTTTTCAGAAACAAAGAAGACATTAACATCCAAACTGAGATTTGCCCATCCCAGGAGTGGACACTAATAAGAGCCATCATGGAATATTTACAGATGCGCCTGAAACGCTGTCTTTCTTCAGCACTCCCAAGACAGCACTGGTAACACACTAGTACAGTACTGTGAAACAACACAGATCTTTCACCTCATTATTTACCGACTGCATACAGCAACCCTGAAATGGTTAAAGACCAAACTAGACCCTCAGCATTATCTGAAACTTGGCACCTCAGGTGGCCCTATGCCCTAAACCATTATAAAGCATTGACGCAAGGGAGATCAATACCAACATATCCTGGCAGTACTGGAGTTAGGAGCTTATGAGATCTGACAAGAACACAGCCTGAAACAGTAATTGGCAGAGAATGGGAGGATTTTTTATTTCTCTTATCATACTTTAAAAATGAATGTTTGTTTTATGTTTATTGGAAAAGAATGAAACCATTCTAACTTCGGCCTTTATTATTATTTGAGGATGTTGCATTTTTATTCCTTGCACCAGTGAACAGGGTCATCTTCAGATGAGGATCTGGCATCTCTTTTGATTTTTAAAAAAGAGGGATTGTTCACATGCAGGACTAGAATATTTTGCTACAGTTACTAATACCATATTTCCAAGCAGCAGCCAGTGCAATGTGTAAAATCTTTTGGAATTAATAGAACAAAAAGGAAAAGGAAAGACAGCAAGACACTGTATCTTAACAGCTGGATGCCAATTATTATTCTCTGTTAACAAAGCATAGCTATCTACTGGAGGTGTCTTTGTCTCCCCATTTGCACAAAGCAGCAGCAAAAACTCAAACAAGTTTCATCTAAAAAGATGAATGATCTCCACTTTATTTCATTGAAGTCATTATTACTCTTCTTTATTGCCACCCTAGTTATTATAAATTATGGTTCTTTCACCATTTGATAAATTCAGTAACTTTCATCTTTATGTGCTTTTGAAGTTCACCCCTAAGAAGGAAGTCTTCTGTATGAAAAGGAATCCTCTTGATCATGAGGCAGAGTTTAAAAGACCTGTATTACATGAGGTGAGGTGTCAACAGAAACTCACTATTGTATGCGCTGGCAGCTAATGCCACCTGTAGCACACCACAGATATTTGGCATTATCAGACCCTTCTGTGTTTTTCTAGCTGAAAAACTTAAAATGTTTCCTTAGTTGCTCTGTTTCTCAGGATTCAGGGAGGGAAGCGACACATGTCCACATGACAATACTGCCAACCTTCAACATTAAAAATGTAAGTTAGGAATAATAATACAAATTGAGTATCTAAATATAATGAATTTTAAAGAATAACCATTTGCAGCTTTGGGGGAGGTTTTGCTTTCTGGCATACAAGCCTTCAGTCTACACTCAGATTGTATTCGTTCTTTGTCTAAGGATGGCTACCTAAGACGCAACTTCTAACACAAAGCACCTAACCCACTAGTTTCTAGAAGCTTTTATGATTTATCAAGGCAAGGATTCCTCTTTTTAATTCTGGTCCTTTCTTCTCTGTGCATTTATTGCTGGTATGGTGCCAGGAGTCCCTATGGTTGACAAAAACTAGGAGGAAGGATTTTTAAGAAAAGCACTCCAGTAGTAAGTCTGTCATCTGTTTTGCTAATCTGCCATGTGGAGTCTCTGTGGAAAACTAAGGGCAGGCAGAAAAATGGGGGTTGAATAGGACATACATATAGCGAATAATTGTTATGATACATGATTTGCAAAATATGAACTGTTTCAGTGCATTAAGTCTGTCGATAAAGTATTCACTTTTGTTACATTAGTCTTCTGCCAGCTTAGCGCACTGAAATGGTTCAGCAACCCAATGACCAAGGGTGCCAGGGGAAAGGGGACAAGTAGGTTTAGCAGGAGGCAAGAGACAGCAACAAGGCAGCCAACAGTTAGACTGCCTTAGGCTGCTATAGAGCTACAATCTTAATTTTTTTTTTTTTTTTTTACCTCTGAGACGCTTTTCAAGGGGTCAGAGGGGAAGCAGTGCTGATATAAGGAAACAGGAACACATGGCCGGAGGAAAAGGAGAGCAGCAGCACAGCAGCGGCCCAACTTCGATTAGACTAAACCACTTGAGTCATTAGTGTCCTAAGTTTTCCAGTTCTGTTTCCAAAGGTGAGATGCTTACATTTGATGAACTCCCTCAATTCAAATAGCACAGATACATCTAAAGGGCTGTTAAGCGAGAGACAGCTAAGCAACTAGGAAGGAATCTTGCTGTTAACATCTAACCTGCCAAGTTTCCAACTTACCCCTGAAGCACGGAAAGGCCTTAAGAGAAATTAGCCTAACCTGTAATGTGAGGGGAACTGATAAAAGAAAGAGGCTAGCTGAGCTACATACCTTGACTATCCAGAAGCTTACATTTCTCTTTAACTCTTCGGATAATGAAGGTGCTTTTGCACATCTGTAAAACAGCTAATTCATTTTTCTTTTTCTCCCCCACACAAATCCCTATTGAATCAAAGGTTTTGAGAGTTGTTCTTAATTGTGGCAAACTAGCTATCAGTTGCAGTTCAGCAAGGATAAAAGCTCTGAGGAAAGAAAGGGAAGGAGAGAGGAACAAGGTTGTTTCTGTTTAAAAAAACTTTTCTTAGTAACCTTAAAAATAACGTTCAATATATTTCTATTGTTTCCAATGAACTTGTAAACTTACAAAGCTTTTCCAAAAAAATGACTATGTAGACTAGTGCATGGTCTCCAAACCCCTGCAGGTCTTCCATGGAGGCTTGTCATTTGAACCGGAAATCACAATTTTAGATGATAGGAAAATGTCATGGGAAAAGTAGTGGGCACCATCCATTCTGCAGCACTTTTGCCTGTCGAGCCAGAGAAGGGATGACCATGCTCCAGCTGGAGGAGAAAGCGGAAAAAGTGCTAGAAGGAGCTACAGGAGGAAGCCTGTGCAGCTGCTGATCCTTCCTAATCTCCTCTTGGTGGAGAGGACAGAGTATCTGCACAGGTTGGAAAGAGGACAGACAAACCCGTGCCTGCACAGGTTTGGGCAGGAAGGGGCAGGTGGCCTGGGCTACAAGGGGAAGGAAAGAAAGCTGGAAGTGTAGGTGGATGCCAAAAGGATAGTTAGCAGAAGAAACTTGCGGAACCACTCACACTGATGAAGTGATGATGTCTCAAGATTTCTGAAGCCATGATTTTTGAAGCACATCATGCCATATTATTTTGGGGGGAAATTCCCTTTTAATCAGAGTTTTGCACTTTTTTTCAGCCTTCATGGATAATACATTAAATTTTACATAAGGAATTTTACATATTTTCTTTTAAAAATACAAATAAAAAGTAGTGTTTTGTTTAACATAAAGGTGTTTTTAGACTTGTCTAGGGAACATATTATGCATTTCATCGGCTTATCATATAATCTCTAATAACATTTTCTTCTGTAATTCGCAACATGTTCCTATTACATTAATGGAACAATATGAGCTCCCTTCTTCAGCTAATTAAGTCCCACAGAAGCATTTTCATGCATGTTAGCTGAAGGCTGCATTACATAGCAGAAATGCTGGCATCATATTTCAAAGATACGACATTCACATCCTGTTAGGATTCAGCTTTTAATCCCATTTACAATTCCTTTGACCCTCCATCCCTCAGTACAGTTATTAATTCACACCACTTTTATAAAATCTGCAAAATTATACCTAATCCAAAACTGTCTGCATGCAATAGTAACAAAAGTCAACCTGGGAAAAGCCAAGAAAAGAAAATACATAAGCCGTGAAAAGTGTAATACAAAATAAAAAAGGCACATTTGAAAAAAAGCTAGATATTTACAAGCCAACTCACGCCAGACACAAATATAAAGTCAACTTAGTCCTCCATCAGTTCCACCACCACTCGGAGCTCTTGCTTGTGGATTTACTCACCTTAAGACATGGTCAACTTAGCCTTTCACTTTTCAATTTATAAACAGATCGTGTAAATAGCTGTTTGCAAATTATCCTCTTACTTTATAAATGTATTTATAGAGCTAACCTCTTCTCTCAGACTGTAGGTCAGAACTGTTTGGCTCAAATACTATTTAACGAGAACACAGAGCAGGGGAAAAACACACAGGTCATCTAAGTCCATAAATTATCCCATTCAAACAGATGTGCTCTGATTTCTGATGTGGTCTGTAAACTAGACCAAATTCTATCTTTCTTTCCAACTTCCTGACTCCTATAAAGGACTTGCAACATTATGTAACAACCTTTAACAGCCCACATTTTTTGTACAACACTGGCCATTTCAAAATCCCACATGAAACTCTGGAACTAGTAAATGACCCTGAATTCATGCACAGCTAGGGTTACAACAGAGAGTATTCCTAGACATATGTTCACTGCTCACAACTTTGAACCTCCTATAAAAGCCAGGCAACTACTTCCTTTTCCCAAAATGGCTTCTGCTAACACAGCTTATATCGTGGGGGACTGCAACTTTGGGAGCTGCTCAGGTATGCATCTTAGCTTGTTTCTGTCCACATTTAAAATTCTTTTCAAATAAAAAAAAATAAAGGGTGTTTCTAGGATAGTAAGGCTTTTAAATGAAGTATCGCTGTATTGTTGCTTCAGTTCTGTTCCCAACAGAAGGTTGCATAAAGATGTCCAAAGTTCCCATCTTATTTTAAGATTGGCAAAAAACCTGCTATTTACAGACCCTGCTGGGAAGGTGACACCTCGTGAGCTATTTGCTGTTTCCCAGGTATCTTCACAACATGGTATTTGCTCTTAGTGCCTCGTTGCTATGTTAGAGTCTGCACTATGAATAAAGTAGTGCTGTAGTGTCACCTAGTGGGAAGTTCTGCCAGCTGCCTCTGTATTCACAGTACCACTAAATACTATGTTACAGCACAAACAGGAAAATTGGCAAGTATGTTCTTTTTGCCTGTTTTCTGACATTCCCGCCCCCCTGTCTTTCTATCAAACGCTTTGCTTTTTTTCCAACAAGCCGGTGATAGAGTAGAACAAGACATATACTATGTGTTTTCTCCCCAGTTGTAAATTACTAGTCTAGTTCATTCAGACTGTGTCATTTAATATGTATCCAGATAGTATTTGGCCTTAACTGGCTAATTTCAGTATACATTAAATTCTGTTGCTGTTGTTTTGATTCCAAGTGAATATTTTGACAGACTTTTCTCTTCAGTATTCTACTCTATCTTTTCTTACTACAATGATGCACATTACCACCTAGTACTATTTCCATTTCCTCTCAGGGATTTCAATGACTTGTGAAATGACAGTTTCAAGCAGCTGATTCTTTCAGTAGTAACAAGGATTTTTTTCTCAATGATGGCACAAGCTGGTGCATCTGGATCAGGGAACATAAAGTGGTGGTTAAAATAATGAGACTGCTCTGACTTAATACAAGTGCAATAACACAACTGGAAATAATTTGAGGCTTTTAAGCAAGCTCTTTGATTAGAGGTGATTGGAAAGGATGTTAGCTGATTAGCTGCACTGCAGGTGCAATAACAGTTAAACTGTTGTCTCTAAAAGCATAATAACTTAATCACTATGGTATAATGGGGGAATTAAGTTAGTGCTACAGAGTTTTTTCAATGAGTTCCTAAAGGAAATATGCTATCCTTTGCTACTAATACTGCTTTTCCTCAGTTGGCATTCACGTACCTCAGTGCACAAGCAGAAGAATGATTTAAGGCTTCTACGAATGGGAGGGAGGGAATACTGCAACTGAAGCACATAACCCTTTACTGATATGTGACGCTGCTGTAATCACTGGAAGATCATTCTTGATAGCTGCACTATGCGCATGTATAAGCTTATCACATCATACCAGCTGTTCCTCTTGAATGATTTGTCTGAATCTTCTTCTTGATTCCTCTCTTAAAACTGTACAGTGAAATGGTGGCAAAGTTCACTAACTTGAAATCCAGGTGATTCTGAAGTGTTAGTTCCTTCTCTGTACCTTTGACCCGGATCATATAAAGTCTTAAGGACTTGAAGATCATGTTCTTTAAGCTTCTTTTCTTCTAATAAAATCCATACACTTGGGACAAACTAGGATCAAATCACACAAAAATGTAAGCACAATTATTCACATAGGTTCTCCACTGAACTCTACCAGATCAATCTGCAACTTTCAAATACAACTGCTCGTGCTTTGAAAGATTAGAAGTGGAGGAAGGTCTCCTTCCCCAGGAAGCATCCAAATATTAGTAGGTGCTCCACAAAAGATGCAAGCCCCTAGCCAAAAATTTCAGACCGTGAAGACATTTCTGTGCATCAGACCTTTCCTTATGCAGGTGCAAAATGGCTGCTCAGAACTCTGTGGATCCAGTTCCATTCAGCAACCATTGAATCCCTCAGCACTTAAATGCTAACTACTATAAATTGTAGTATAGCTCTGTGAATTCTGTACAATATGCTGTTAAATGCATAAAATGCATTTTTTTTCTTTTGTTACGCCGACTAGAGCAACACTCGGTATTTCCTAATAGTAGCATTGTAAAGGTCTAAAACTTGACTAGTTTATTTGTAAAGCAATCCATGTCTGGCTGGTAGAAGAGGTTAGCGAAATGCAAGGTATAATTAGCAGCTAATCCCAAAAGTTCACCCTTTAACAGACAGTGGCATTAGTGCTGTTTTTTAAATATTTCGAGTGCATGACGCATTTGAAATGCTACATGGCAAAAAGGCTTCTTTAAGCCATTACCCCCAAAAGGAATACATCTGATATAAAGGAGAAGAACTAACCAAAGAAACTGTCTTTAAAAAAATCTCTACATGAAAACAAATATCCCTTTCAATATCGCTGAAGGCAAATAATATAGCTTCTCCTATTCTAAAATTATCTTCTACTTTGGATAGCCAGACTGTCAGCTGAAGTGTATAGTTTCCTGATCAAAATAGGAGTCCTTTGGGAATAATCTACTGCTACACTTTAGTCCTCCCATTATTTAAATATGTCAAATACAATTTTTTTTCATTCCCCTAAGAAGGGGGGTAGGGGAGGGAGAGTAAAATCCAACAATGCCATGCAAGAGCTGCATGAAACAGGAGCAGAACTTAACAAAATGTTTTTAAAAAAAAAAAAAAATTATGAAGCTTTCTCCGAGTTGATATCTGAGGTTAGGACAGGCAAAAAATAGGAAGTGAGTAATTTAGTTTCCTGACTGACTTTTCAGTGAATCCTAAAAATGTTTAAGTCCTCAAGAATTCTATTTTTGTAGTTACGCATAACTGATATCTACATACTTCTGCAGACCTTCTAAACAAGCTACGTAATGGACTTTCAAAAGAAAACTTTGTTCATCTGCACACGAATGGCAACAGCTGGACTAGTGGTCTGTAACGAAGAGACTACAGTGATGAAATATCAGTGTCTGCAGAAGACAGAACTAAAAATGTGCCCACTTTCAGAGTTAAAAGTGAAGAGTGTTCTTCATGTGTAGTTCCCCTCTTTGTCAAATACGTGAATTGAAACTAAAGTAATAATCTTTTTTAAAAAAAAAAAAAAACACTTAAACTGTATCCTATATAAACTACATCCTCTATGGCTGACTTAAAGGACTCTGGGGCAAATTATTATACTTTGTAAACAAAAAACCTCACTGAGGTAGAGCTCACTTACAATGTTACATGACTTGTTATTTGCTTTAAAATACAAAGAGGTCATTTAATGTTGTCAATGGCCGACTTCCTAAAATTAAAGTCATTTTGACTGAATAGTCATAAATCATATGACTGTGCAGCAAAAAACTTCTACCAGTTTTCTTAGATACTGTATAAAGGCTGCTATTTGATATCCTACAGGCACCAAAATAAAATGACCAAACGTTCCTTTACCATGTACATTAAACTTGTTTCTTTAATTGTAACATACAGAAAGATGATCAAGAGACTATGTCCTAGTTTCACTTCATGTTTTACAAAGTAGCTAACTGTCATGCTAAACCAGGCGATCTGATGAATCATGACCTTATGGGAGCAATATAGTGAGAGAGAAGTAGAAGTCTTGTTTTGCTCGTATTTTCACAGTCACAAAATTTTCATGCCTTGTTCCTGAGCTTTATTGACAATGAAAAGTTGTTCCAAAGCCTAGAATTCTGCTTTGCTTCTCTAGCTAATATTTTTCCTGACTCTAATATTGGGTGGATTGTAAAAGGCAGAAAGTCAAGGTCAAGTCTTACTCAAGTCAAATAAAGGTATATTAATGTAGTCAAATATAATACAAGACCCTATAAAGCTGTTAGATATTACTTCCCTATAAACACACTGTCAAATACTACCTTTAGTCCACAAGATGGAGTAAAATTTGCTTCTGTACCCTGTAGCAAGAGTAGCTAAAAGCCTACACTTATCTTAAATAAATCATGGGTGAATAAAAGGCTGCTGATCTCTGACTTCTCAGCAAAAACATGAGCGTTTCCCTGTGTTCTGTGGAACGTAAGTTGCTAAACTTTCAGTGTCTGAGAAGCCTAGGAGGCAGAATAAATCTTAAAATAGTTTAGAGTAGGAGAACAAATAAGACACAGACCTGAAGATTTCCTTTGCTGCAAGACTACTGAAATTGATCTCCAACTCTGCTGTTCCCTCCCCTCTTTTCCTTCCCCCCCCCCCCCCCCCTTTTCCCCCCCCCCCCCCCTTTCTTCTCACAGTCTGGATATTTCTTAGCAAAAATAAAACAAAGCTAACAAAAAATGCCTTCCTCAGTCAGTATAGCAAGAAGAGCTAATATGCAACATTTACTATATCATGATTAAATGAGTGACATATCTTGGGGATATACAGCTGCTGGATGGAGAAAATGAATGCTAAACCATGCCTCTGCAGGCTACATTGATATTCGAGACACCTAGTAAGGTCAAACTTTCCAGCTAGCATCAATTCAGTTCTCCTTCATGATAAATCTTTTCTACCAAATGCAGCCAAGCTACGTTAATGAAGCAGCCTTTCTGATTACAGCTATTTTGTAATGTCAGGATGTGAGCGAGCACTTTTCACTGCTCCAGACCTGCCATATGTATCCACCATTTTAATCAAGTTCGGATGGCTTGAGTTATAGACAGAGTAGTATCTCTCTAAGTTGTCATAAAATAATGCAAAAAATGTGGGATTTCAAAGGTTACTGCAAAGATTCTAATTGAAAATAATGTTTAGGAACATAGTATGCAATAAATAACTCCAAGGTGTGTTTTTGGTTACCTCCGTAACTTTGTTTAAAAAGTAAACCTTTACTCCTTCCACGCCTCCCTTCCCCAAGCCTTTAACTTCGAACATCGGGAAAACTGCTCACAGTTCTGGAAAGGCTTGTCTTACAGCCTTGCTTAGGCATGCAACAGTTTTAGAGTCGTTCAGCTTGCTCTTACGTACCTGGCTCCCAAGCTGCAGTGAGAAGGCGGGGGAGGGCGGAGGCCCTGCCAACTCGATTGCTCATGACTAGCGTCATATGACACTTCAAAGATGGCCGAAGGGGAGAGCCCATCTGCCGCGGAACAGAAAGAAGACTTTGAAATTATTGACAAAAACCTGATCCCTAATACCACTGAGCTGAAAAACGAGGGAAAAGAGAAAACTGCGGAAGAAGCAAGATGGTCTGCTCCCATCTTGTCGCTGGCTAAGAAAGCCTCAGAAAACTTAGCGCTGAGCTATGGCAACGCTCTGAAGTCTGCATCTTTGGTAGGATTCATATCCAAACCAGTCAGCAATGACAACACAGCAAAAACAAGTATGGTTATGTTTATTTAGTAAACTTGCTTTTATGGTGCACAAATAAGTTAGTTAGCTCCCGTAAGTGGCATTTATCAGTGTCAGTGAGGCATTATTATTACTCTGAATTTATTTTTAAAAATCTGATGCTGCGCTATTTAATGGAAGCAAAACTACACAAACACCACAGATGTAGAACTGAACAAAGTATATTCTAACTAGAAAAATCGTAAACTCTGAATATATTCGGAAAATCTGACTTTATTTTCTGTACATAAGGCTTTTGATTACTTTTGCCTTCTCCCTTAAAGTTCTCCTTAGCAGCAGCCTGACTGCACTAGTAGGTGATGTGGCTCATTTCTTATCCTTCCTAGGCGGTTCAGAGAAGGAGCTATACTTGTGGTATGATTTTGTGACACAAGGTAGACTAAGACAAAGACTTGTCATGAATTACTTCTTTTTCACTATGCTAAAAATGCCCCCTTAAGTTAACTACAGCTTGCTTTATTAAACATCCATATTTGTGGGTATAACAATCCATATGGATTTACGGAACGAGTCTTTTACAGCTGAACTAAAAGGGCTTTAGTTGGATCCTTATGCGAATTGAATCCTTTGGTACCACCTCAGTGATATTCGGGCACTGGAAACAAAACCATTCAAATGTAGTGGTAACTGGTCACATTAGTCTTGTCCTCCAGGCTTTCAGGCTAGCGCTTAGTGATTTTTTTGGACCAACAGAGCTCAGTTATGGTTCTGACCTTCTTGTTTTTCATGATATTTAGTACTCAAGCTGGAGTTCTCTGGGGATGAATTGTGGCTATGTGGTGAAATAAGCTACTCGTGGTGGGTGGGGGGGGATTTTTTTCAATGAAAATTCCTTGATTTTTGTATAGTCAGGAGAGTTTAAAATAATAATCTAGTTTTCCAGGACACAATTTCGCTTTCCCTGCATCTATTACACAGTCTCAGACCACGTTTAACAGATTTGTTTTCTGGATGCCCAGCGTGAGAACCTGGAATCTAACCTGAGGAAGGACAAAATATCCCACTGTCTTCAGGTGCATTGGGATCGCTGCTGTGAACACACATAGTACAACAGCACATGCAGCATTTGCTGGGGGTAGAGGAGAGGGCTGTTAAAACATTCTGCCTGAAATGAGAGTCCCCAGGCTTCATGGGACTTTCACCATAATCTTGCAGCTTCCTGTCTGTAAAATGAGGGAATGCAACTCCACCTCACCAGATTATGAACGTATTATCCAAATACTTTGAACAATGTTTATAGAAAATTCCATGAGAAAAATCTGCTTATAACTTATTTAAAAAAAAAAAAAGTGAACAGGCACTAGATGACCTATTCTGCCCTCCTGTGTAAAAGGCTTCACCGTTACCCTTGACTGAGAACAGTAAATTTGATTTAAAGCAGGTATTAAATAAATAACCTCTAGTTCTGTGGCCTGCAAGAAGATATGTGGAGTGCTAGTAACTTGTTCCTTGTTGCCCTCTTTTCCAGAGATTTTATAATCTCTACCTGCTACTTCAGGTATGTTGATCACTTGAAAAGTCACCACTGCACACTCCACAGCAAACTGGACAGATAAAAGGAAAGGCACACCATAAAACTAGCGTGTACTACTGATGAAACTGTCCCGCTTGGCTGGAAAGATAGGGAGCTACCAATTTAAATACAAATCAAGAAAGACTTGCAGTTTTATAGACCAAGAGGTGGAGAACAGTCAAGGTTTCTTCATACTTCAGTTTTTTTCCTACCTCAAGGCCTGCTGAATAGTGTGCAGTAAACAAGGCACGGGGGCTTCAAAATGATGTTAAAACAAATCTGTTGAATTGGATGAGGTAAGAGACTGTGTGACGGTGTTTTTAATGACCGCATCATAACGTGTGTGATCTTTTGCACTTAAGTAACTCGATTCCTAATCTTCCAGGCCTTGCTTTGGTAGATCGCGCTGTTCTAGTATCTGGCTTTTTTGCATGTACCAACTTGTACATGGTTTTAGAAAAGATGCACTTGACTGTCCAACCTTGCAACTGTTTAAAAAATAGTTCAGATTGTACTAACTAGTACTTAGTACAAATGCTTATGAAGACATGGTTTACATTTAAATTTTTGTTCATAAATAAATTATCATTCACAAAATTCGTTTAAAAAAAGACTTGTGGCTGATATGATACCTAGCCCTTGAGCAAAGCTCACAAGCAAAACATGCCTGACAAGTAAAAATCCAGTCTCAGGAAATCGTCAAAATAACTCGATGAGTTGCCATTGAAGCATCCTAACATCTAAGCAAGGCCACTGATTTCCTATTTCCATAGTCAGCCTTTTTTCTGTTCCTAACGTGTAGCCTGGCAATACTGACATCAACATTTAAAAATATTACAACCCTTCTAATTCTCAGTCTCATCTCGGACATTATAAGCAGTTTTGAGGCATCCACTATACTGACTGTAGATAGTGATATGTTGGAAACAGCCTATGGAGAAGATAGGATTTTATGTGCTTCTTCTTGAGACTGACTTGAATTTGGATGAGAACGACTCCCTGTTTTGGCTCTTCTGATATGGAAGACTTTTGTTCACTAGTAACCCTGAATTAACATTCTGTGCACGATAAGGAAGGTAATCATGAAAATTAGTACTCAAAAGACTTTTGCATGCTGTTAGGAATAGCATTAGCAATCTCACATGTGACTGAGGCGGGGGCTCTCTACCTGTTAAACTTGGTCTTCTGTGACTGCTATTTCTGCAGGGGGTATTACCATGTTTGATCCGCAGATGCGAGCAGGATTCTCCTAATGCAACATCGTTGGCTCAAAAGACCATTTAGCCATGGGTCTGCGGTTGGCAGCATCTGCCAGAACCTGCGTTGGCTGAGGATAAGCCGTGGCTGGCAGCCTGTTTCTGTCTCGACCCTCCTCTCCTTTTAAAAGGAGGAGCGCTGCCCTGTGCCGTTAGGGGAAGCGGGGCAGAGCGCCCCTCAGAAGCAGGGCTCGGCGCTGAGGGAAGCGGGGACGGCGCTCGGCACCGCCGTCCGCGGAGCGGCGCGACAGGCCG